AATACACCGCACAAGAAATAACATGGTTACTCCGGTGACTGACCAGTACCGAGGTTTCGCGGTTGCGCGGATTGGATGAGCCTCGTTATCTATCGCCTGTCGCCTAAAAAATATTTTAACTAGCAGCTCGGACCGAAAGCTTGCCTTCTGGCTCCGATTCCGTCAGCTGCTACGAAAGACAAACGAAATTCACTTTAATCTACTTCAATGTTTTGCTTTAATACCGGGGAAATCCTCGGGAAACCTCTTTCGGAACACCTCTATCCATTGAAATGCCACTACCTCATAACTCTTCGTAGTGGTCTGATGTAGTCGCAGTACAACGAGTTGTTGTTATTCTCAGTTATTTTGAATCACAAATCTGATTCCTGCGTCAAGCGCGTTCAGCTTTGACTTTCTAATAATGACGAGCCGCCGGTGAAATGGTTATGATTTCTTGTGTCGTGAGCACACTTAATTTGTTTGAACGAAATTCAAGGGTGTTAATGCGAAGCGAACTTATAGCTGAACCTCGAGTAAGTAAGTAACAATGTAAGTATTTGCCAATTAACATTGTTTTCGTTTGTGACTCATCGTCGGAAGACGATGGTCGAGGCAGTGGCCTTAGTGCCACGCGGAAGTAGTTTGTACTGCAGATTTTCTTGTAAACTCAGTTTGCTTTCGCAAATCGAAATGAAACCAGGCTCTCTTGAGTTAAGAAGTTGCGCTTGAGCGGAAAACGCTTCCCGGGGTTACGTAAAGCAAAAACTTAACTAAGTAATTCAGTTTATTTAGATGGCACCCGCAAAAGTAGATACTGTATTTTCTTTGTCATCTCCAACCTTTGCCATCCTAAATATAAGGGCACGAAGCCCAAAGCTTTTACCGTCTACCTTTATTATATTTCTTGCCTATAATTTAATATTTCGCCAGATTTATCCGCCAAAACAGAGGTTCCTTGTGCCGTACAAAACCTAGGTTTCCTTTACTTCTATTTTACAAAAGGTTTATTCATTAAATACTTCAAATCGATATGGTATATCAACTTATGCTCCTTTCCATCTGGTTTATATAAGAAAAGCATCGATTTCTCTGTTCCACTCAACGAACATCAAGAAGATATGAAAAGAAATAGGAACATTCATGAAATATGAACGGCGGTAGCTCATATCTTGAAAATCAGCCACTGCTTCAACAACACTGAGGTGACCCTTAATGATAAATCAAACCGGACGGCGTGCTTTTCAATGAAGTCATTACATGTGGTATACGTGTGGGTATAATTGAGATCATAAAATTG